TAAAAAAATCCCCAAAACAAACTTTCTTTACCTCTGATATAATGGAATGTGTACACCTGTGTTTCCCCTCACTGGAATATGATTGGCTGGTGTCTGTCATAAATATCGACGGACGTGTAGGAGAGTCAAAGAGCCTTAATCTGAGAGCTAAGTCTATAACGACGTCCATTCGACTACGCCATTGATCTACACTTCTTACCTGCGACTACGACGCGTACCATTCGATTACTGCTACCATATTCTACTAGCCAAAACCACTTAGCTACTTCGTTCAAATATATCCCTTTCCGGGACATATCAACATTCCATTTAAAATCATCTCATAAATAGTTTCCATCATGTGTTGAGGATTAAAAAGAAAAGATATCCATTTGTTTTCTTTTTAAAGCTTCATCAGAAATACTTTGACCCCAGAGTGACATTATTAATGTCCCAAGAAAAGGCAGAAATCCATTTCTCCCTGTGCACGGTCTGACGGTAAGATATTTTGACAAGCTATCTCATCATTGGCATGACTTTTGAGAGACGGTGAGTTGACAGTTTATCAAGCCACCCTTAGCGTAACAGCTACCGATGTGGGGGAGAGGAATCGACATGCCGAGTTCAAATTCTAGACTAGTATATTTACTTTTACTCTAATGACATTTAGAAAACCATGAATCCGTCTGTTTACCCTCATTCAACTATGGGTTAAATAGTTGGGTACACTGACCACTCTAGCCTTGCTCGTTGATTAGTTTGAAGTCAAAACCATGGAGAAGGCAACGGGAAAGACACTCCACAAAATGTAATGGCAATACGCATGTAACAAAGAAAAAGAATCTGTGGAGAGCCATTATTGCTTATGTCTTGAAGGCTCATGGCATTTAACAATATTGTCTCAAATCGTTTTCTCCGTAAGATTTAATGTTTTGTATAAACTATGTTGTTGTTGCTTTCCTGACTACAAACTCGGTATTTTTTAATAATAGGCTTAATTTATGACCACTTTACGGTAGCAACATTATAGAGAAAGACGTAATAATTACTTTTGATTGGATATATGTAATAATTATGAGAAAATAAATTAGATACGATATTATATGAGTTGAGCAGAAACGGAAAGGGTATTCTTTCTATATTTTCCATGAAAATATATTTGTCATATTGGCAACAAAAAGCACTTGATATATAAAGAGGTCAACAGATGCCGAGGATTAGCTTAGATCAGTAGAGTACCAAGAGTAGTGACTCACACAGTGGGGGAAGTGAATTCATTAATCTCGAACTAATCAGCGAGATTATCTACTTCGCCATCGTTCTACGCCGGGTGCCACTAGTAGATTTATTAAGCATACACTCGTACAGCTCCACAATATTAAAGAACCTAGTGCTCTGATTCTTAACCTTTTTTTTTCCTTGTTCGCACCCCTTTCAATCCCACCAACCAATTCTAGCACGCGCTTCCAGAATTGATGAAAAACAATATTGATCTCATATGCAAATAACAAAACCATTGTGTTTCTCTAATCTTTACTTACATAACTGACAACGAAATAATGCAATACAAAAACCCGGATTATTTTCATATTAGCAAAAAACAAAAATAAAATAATACCCGGTTAAGGCAGTGGAGAACTTGGAAAGGGGAATTAAGAGGAGATAACTGATAATGGACATCCATTAGACATGGCACGTGGAACTAGAACAGTCTACCCCAGTGAGCGAAATAAAAGGTTCAGTTCGACATTCCAACCAGCTGAAGAAGGCCGGAGCGTACAACGGCCGAAACGTTGTAATAAATATTGCGACAAAGATGAGTTCGAATAATGTAAATAGTAAAAAGTAAAAAAATTACGCTATTATGAGGGTAGCAACTTGTAAAATCTCTACAATGTAAACTTTTATGTTAGATTACCAAACGTTACACTATGTTTTCCATAATAAATAAACCGTAATGATTCAGTGTCCTTGCGCCCCCATGGGAACAGATATCGCACCACTAAGAGGTGCGAGCAGCCCTAGTTAATAACCACTGGCCTAGTGAGTATGCTATTAATGCTCGTATAAGCTCGTAGTTTTTGTTAATAGTATTGTAAGGAAAATACTGGATCATAAGATTAGTGAAGAAGAGGTTTAATCACACGAGGGACATGGATTAATCATAATAATACAATAATAGCGAATACCGTAGTTCGGTGTGGCAATGCTTACGACTCAATGCTGTGACCCACGTTCCATCTATACATTTGAATTGATGAGTCTATATTCAACAATTAGTGTAGAAAAGGTCGGTCATCTCTTTGCACAGCAGAATATCAATCTAATTACAAAATCCAATGGTTTTGTTTATTAATTCTAACTCTCAGACACTTATGTTTTAACTGATTAATTGATTTGTTTTTTACGTCCGGCGTATCAACCTTTTGCAGGCTATTTAAAGCCCCAAAATATTTTAGATCATTAGAATATTTTGGAGATAATAATTTACTGATACAAGTCCTACTAATTAACTCTTAGATGGGGGAGAAGGGGCGGATTCGTACCTTTCCCAAGTGTATTTCCGCGTAACTGAATATAACGAACCCAATAGGAACTGGAACTCGGATCTCCGATTAGCAATTCCGAGACGTTATCCACTGCACTACACACACATCCAAACTTACAACGCCGAGTATGCACAAGCGGTCACCCATTTGGGTACTGACCAGGCTCGACATTGCTTAACCTCGGTGATCGTACGAGAAGAGGTGTTTTAACGTGATATGGACGTAAGCCGGTTCAGTGGCTCTGAGAACTATGCCGTCATGAATTCTAAACTCTTGGCAAAGCCACTCTTGGTAGGGCACCCCTTGATAGAGCCACCCCTTAGTTCTCAAAAGAAGAATACTACTCTAACCGTATTCAGGTAAGGTAATGGTTAATGAGCTATTCTGATCATTACTACTGATCAATGAATTCGATCATCACTAGTGTCTCATACTTGTAGCGTTGTATCAAACATAGCTAAGCTTAGTAAGTATTTGATTTCACCAGCGTCAGGTGATGGTTAACGAGCTAATCTTATAGACAATTATAAGAATGCCAAATTACCCTAAGCTTAGCAACAGTATTGACAGTCATGCATGTTGCTTTATTTTCTGTGGAAAAATGGATTAGCAGGTGACTGTGACCAGCATCTTTAGCGATGGGTCGTATATATGTGTTCCGCTTGGGGTCTGGATCAAGTTTGTCCCAATAGCTGCTCAAGGAATGACGCTTCCCTGAGGGAACATCCGTCCATCCCGCCGCTAAAGAAAGTACCTGAATCCTTCAGCTATGCTTTATTTCTCTAAGAGTCTGATTAAGCTAAAAATGGCGTATCACAGCCATATCTAGGCTGGAGCTGCCCAGTTCTCGCTGTCCAGGCACCGTAAATTTCGAAAGCATTTACGAGGTCTTGTAGGTGATTCATTATTTTCCACTCTGCAACCCCTTTCCAGCAAACGAAACATTGCTAGCCTCTCGCTAGTTTATCGCCATTTCCCTGAGAAATGTTTGCACGAGCAACATCCTTTCATTCCACCAGTTCAGACCTTTATGACTAACATCCGCCAAACCATGTACACAGAATCAACTCATCTTCATTCTTTTCATATTCCATTGGCAAGGAGGAAGTTCCACCCAGGCAACTTCTTCCTCAGAACCGTTACTTGGTGGAACAGTCTCTCTAGAGGATGCTTCCCCGACGAGTACAATATTAACCTCTTCAAGTGTAGGCTTAACCGTTATCCATCCTACATATCCTCATAATATGTCCCTTCTTATTTCCTCCTTTTACGCTCTTACAACAACCTCGTTTAGTAACCATCTACATTTATTGGTTCTTGAGCCTTGTATGGGGTGAAAAATAATATAAAAATATCTTATTTGTTGAGCTTAACCAACTTCAAACAAATCTACACCACGAGACACCTGCTGAGACCCGTAGAATCACTTTACGCTAGGTAGAAGTAGGTTAGCTCAGATTAGTTCAGCGCAAGATCGTGTGGCGCCAAGCCCAAGTGAGGATCGAAATCACTCGTAATGGCATGGGAGACTTTACCGTCTCTCTCCGACAGGTTCTATTTATTAAGCGTACTTTAGTCCCTTGAATATAATTTCCAGAACGGACTTACCTGGATTTAACACCTGTAAGCCTTTTCACCAAATATATAGATATGTCTAAATGAATTAAAAAAGAAAAAGAAAAATGCAAGTACGTAGATGCTGACAATGAAGTAAAAAGGAAGTGCACACGCACACATCTCACGGAGTCAAAAATAAAGTACGTAGGAACCCACAAAGATATTCTCCTATGTGCTGTGTCTTTTCAGCGATCATGGCTCTCCACAACTTCCTAGATCTAAGCAATGTCTGTTCACTTACTATTCCCTCCGCTCCACGTTCTGCCATCCATTTTAACATATAGGCACACACACACAAACGCACTCACACAATTATACACACGAACACACGCACAGACATACATAGACACAAACACCCAAAAATACAAACACACGCATACACACAAAAGCACAAACACACATATAAAAACGTACACACAGACATATACACACATACAACTATACATGCAAACATACACAAATGCACACACAGACATGTAAACAAACGCACAAACACACGCAAGCATGTAAACACACGCACAAACACACGCAAACATACTTAAAACATGCGCACAAACGTAGACAAACGCACACTCAAGCACACACACATATACATAAAAAAAACATGCACAAACACACATACACATAAAAGAAATGCGAATGAACATCACATATATGATTAAAACATACGTACGCACACACACAGACAATGCATTAAAAAAGAAGCAAATGCGCATACACAGAGATACGTTCATAATGAGACAAGTAAAAAGAAAGTACACGAAGACACATACAATGAAATTTAAAAAAGCAAGAACAAGAGAGAGAGAGAGAGAGAGAGAGAGAGAACGCGAGAGAATGCGAGAGAATGCGAGAGAATGAGAGAGAATGAGAGAGAAAAAGAGAAAGAGTAATCCATTAAAAAATATTGAATGGGTTTGATTGGAAGTAAACGGAGTCTGGAGAAGTAAAAATATTCAGAAACGATAAGCCGGGGTGAGATTCAGTGAAATAAATAAATAAATAAAATTAAATAAAATAACATAAAAAATATAAAAAAAAAACAACCGATGCAGACGAGATAAGATACCAGCTTGACGCCTGCCACCATAAAAATGGACGAAGTCTTGGCAAAAATGAATTAATCAGCACCAAATGATGGACGATTCCAAAGACAGCGGAGGAAATGGGGGTGAGTGGGTATGGAATGAGAGAAACTGGTAAGAGCTTGGTGGCGTGGGGTGATAAAACACAAAAGTCCTTTCGATTTATGGACACTTGTCTACTGAAACCCCTGCAATTAATTCAACTGATGCCGATGGTGTAACCTCTTCTACACGAAAACTTTAAGTTGACACTGCAAGTATAGTATTGAAGAAGAAAAAAAATATATAAAGGCCAGGCAACTTCATTTCACCTACGAATGGCTCATAATTTCATTGTGAACCTATCTCTATCTATTTCGAAAGATACACGTTCGCTCATTTCGATGGCTTTTCATTGGAAAACGAAAAGGGATTAGCATAAAAATTACGATGATATATTTTTGTTTTGCTCGAGGTGATCTATCTACCTATCTATCATGATGATACATATCTTTTCTATTTATGTGTATACGCTCGTACACACACACATTTCATTTTTATTTCATTATATATATACATATATATATATATATATATATGTATATATATTTGGTTGAGTCATAAATAATTGCCGCTTTTGCTTATCTTTATTTTGAAAAAAATATACAAAGTACATTTTATTCCATTATATATTCCCGATTATTTGTAATGAATTTTTGCCATTTATTAGGCAGCTCTTTGATATTGTAGGTACCTCCAAAGGTTCGCTAAAAAATGAGCATGGATAATGAAAAAAAAAAATACTCCAAACATTATGAAAACAAAGTTTTATCGTCAAAATCTTTATTCTAATACTAAGAGGAAAGACCAAAGGAATTTTTGATTATTAAATTATATAATTTAATCCTTTTTAGAACCTTTGAAATTTTGGTTAAAATTTTTTTTCTTACGTCAACGGGTGACCATAAATTAGTATGGGGAAATTTGAGCGTCTTTTTTTGCCGTGAAAAACACACTGATTTGGTAATTCTTGCAAAAATAATTGTCAGATTTTAATCAACCTTTCAGGACTTATTCACAAATAAATGAAATGTTTCGTTTTTAGAAAATATTACTACTAATATATTTTTTTTTTACATCTGTTACCCCTATTTAATTAATCTCATGAAATTTCAAGAAATTATTTTTTGTAGAACGTAATGTTTATAATAGTTATAAGGATAAGTCCTTGGAGAATTTAAATCATCAAATTGTCTTTGTAAAAAAGGACACAGAGTTACAAAAATACACTGAATCGTAAAAAACAAAAAAACGAAAACAAAAACTAAAACATTATTTAATTAGAAAAGCTTTGATTGCTTTTATGAATAAGATATATTATGGATACTATTGTTCTTAAGAAAAATTTTTTTTCGGTGAATAATGAATTTTTTAAGAAGTTTTTAATTTAAAAACAATTTAATGATAATAATTTATAAAGTTTTAGATCTTTTAAAATTCTGTATTAATTTGTAGCGGTTAAGTGAGATTGTTATTAAGTAAAAAACTACAATTGAGCAACCACCAGTATTGTAAAAAGAATTTTTCAATTTTTTGTCTGTATAAAGGAGCTGATTTTTGTAAATACGGGCGTCCATACACAACATTATCAGTAAAAAAAGAGCAGTAATTATAGTAAATTTAAAATTTATTGATAATTTTCTCACAAGCGTCTCCGGAAGTAAAACTATAAAGTCAAAGTACCTAAAATTCATTGAAATATTAGAATGCTTAAAATATTTAAAATTTTTAAGATTACTGAGTAATTAAAACATTATTTACGTCTTACCTAAATCTCTCAGTCGACAGATTATCGATAAATATATCAGCACCTCATAAAAAAACACCCAGATTCGTGTTAAAAATCTTTTCTGCAATGTTATAAACTGAAAGTAAGTAATACTTGTTCTAATCAAGATTAATTAAACTTTAAATCAGTTAATCCTCTTCAAATAAAGTTTCAGAAAATTATGTTTTATTTTTGAAAGATTTTTTAATAAAGATAATTATATTGTGTTGACAGATTTTTCTATATGGCAGATTTTAGCGACTTAAAAAACTCATTCCTTTTATATAAATTCTGTAATACAACAAGGTGTTTTGCTTATTGGAAATATTAAATTTAATGTATTAGCTTGGAATTAAAACTAAAATAAAAGCTTCAAGAAAGATTATTTTATTTTTAAAATTCTTTGTAAACCATAGGAATCTTTTTTTTTCTCTCGGTACCTACTGTTGAATAACTTTCCGCAGATTTTGAAAACTTGAATCTAGTTTTCATGAGTTTTACCCCTATCAAAACGTTTTTCAGCAATCGTAAAAGATAATAATTGGTTCGTGCAAGGTCAGGTGAATGTGGCGGTTGGAGTAGAGCAGACAAACTGCGTTCCAAATTTGTTTCTTCCGTTATCCTTGCTGCGTGAGGCCCTTACAGTGGCATGGAAAAAAGACGACATTTTTCTTTTAATCGACTGTGCACGCTGCCATTGTTGTGCCTTCGTGTGAATATCTATGCAGAGGATACAATAGTTTATAGGAATTGCTCCCTCAAATCTGGATGACCAGAATCTGGCTGCTGATCTGGCTCTGATGTGGCAATGGTAGAAGGATTGTCTAAGTACCATATCCATACACCCAAGGCCAAACAAGTGACGTTCCACCATTACCAAGCAGAGCCTGATGGATGAGTGTCCTCTCAAGGAGGTTTGAACGCCTGCTGGGATTCAAGCCCACCCAAAGATTCGGTGGTCGGTAGTTGAAAAAAAAAAAAAGAAAAAAAAAGAAAAAAAAAGAAAAAAAAAAGAAGCAAAAGTCGTCAGGCGAATTGGTCTCGCTGCTAAGGAGAGAGTCAGTTGGTCGGCCGTTAATGTGACTCGCATTGGTCGGGCGGAGAGCCTGGCGTGCCCCTTCGACGCGCATCTGCCTTTGCGTGATAAAATACTATTATGGGATCTTACCCATAATAATAATGGACTATTCCATACTTAATAAACACTGCGCCTCAGGAGTAGGCAAGGAGTCAGTCGTTCACTTCTGAACCGACTGTTCGGTTGAACTCTCTGCCTTCGGGCGGGGAGGAACCCGAACAAGGCTACACCGAGGGGCGGAGTCTCGTTTGGAGAGGTAAGCCGGCCCTGAGCCCGTTTATACGGGTTCAATGGGCATATTTTTTGGCCGTACACACGGGCTCGGAGAACCCACAATAAATAACTGACCTTGTGTCACATGCTGCCCCAGTGTCGGGGTGACTGAATATCGTCAGTCGTTCACTTCTGAACCGACTGTTCGGTTGAACTCTCTGCCTTCGGGCGGAGAGGAACCCGAAGGAGGCTACGCCGAAGGGCGGAGTCTCGTTCGGAGAGGTAAACCGACCCTGAACCTGTTTATACGGGTTCAATGGGTATATTTTTGGGCAGAGCCCACGGGCTCGGTAAACCCACAATAAATAACCGACCTTGTGTCACATGTTGCCCCAGGGGGGAAACTGAATATCGTCAGTAGTTCAAGTTCTGACCGGCTGTTCGGTTGAACTCTCTGCCTTCGGGCGGAGAAGAACCCGAACGAGGCTACGCCGAAGGGCGGAGTATCTTTCGGGGAGGTAAACCGGCCCTGAGCCCGTTTATACGGGTTCAATGGGCATATTTTTGGGCCGAGCCCACGGGCTCGGAGAACCCACAATAAATAACCGACTTTGTGTCACATGATGCCCCAGTGGGGGGCGGGTGACTGAATATTGTCAGTAGTTCAAGTCCTGACAGGCTGTTCGGTTGAACTCTCTGCCTTCGAGCGGGGAGGAACCCGAACGAGGCTACGCCGAAGACCGGAGTCTCTTTCGGGGAGTAAACCGACCCTGAACCCGTTTATACGGGTTCAATGGGTATATTCTTTAAATAAGGAACTGATTTCATAATTCTTGTTCCTATTGTAATATTTTGTTAAAGTTTTAAGCTGAAAGATTTATTGAGGCTATAAGGGAATTTACATAGGTATTTTATAGTCGTTAAACTTTCAAGAAGTTCATCCAACCATTAATTGAAGAATGAAGATTCATCAGAAAATGAAAACAGTAAAATCATGAAATTTTCTCGGATATTTTCTCGGCTTACAATATTCGTTAGATTTTCAAAATATACTATTAAAAATATCAACATTGTTTAATTTTGCTTACTCCCAATCCGTGATTTAAATGCTCAGGTAGTTTCCACTTTGATATAGAAAATGACTTTATTTAAATAACTAAACTGTTTAATTATAAAAGCCATGTATAAAGAATCGCTTATCTTTAATGATCATAAAAAACAGTCTAGCAAATCAGTTATTAAAAAAAGAACATTCAAAACTGAATATTCAAATTAGTTTAACCAAGAACCACAAAGCTAATCAAGAAATAAAAATCGTAGATAAAGATAATAAATTGCATTTACTTGATGTCAGAGTTGAAATTAATTTTCAGGGTTTCCTGCAAACACACACACACACAGCATACAAATTTTGAGCTTTATATATAAGGTGTTATAATCTATGGTAGACACAACACGAAAAATCAATGAAAGCAATGAAAACTACTGGGCACCTCATCTTCTTATTTTATGTGCCGTGTCCCTTCAGGACGTAGGCGATCATAGCTCTCCACAACTTCCCGTCCCTTGTAGCTCTTAATAAATTTTGTCTTTCTATTATTTCTCCTAAACCTTGTTCTGCCATCCATTTACTCAAGCTCACTAAGTATGTTATTCGTTGTTTACCTCTTGCCTTCAATTTGCCCCGTGAGTATCAGATTTTCCAAGCCCTCTTTCCTCATTACGTGCCCTAGAAACCTCAAATGTCTCCTCCTGATGTTTCCTTTTTGTTTCCATTTTCAATAAAACCTCGTCGTTGCTCACATATTCGGTGTATAGTCTGCGTCTGTGGAACCACATATCTGTTTCTTCAAGTCTCTTCTTCACTTTTAAGGAGATTTTCAGACACTCACTGCCAATCAGAAGGACAGATATCACGTAACAGTTTAGTACTCTTTTCATTGTTACTAGCGAAGTTTCTCTATTTCATAATACTCTTTTTAGTTTTTGGAATGCGTCCTTTTCCCAAATATTTAAATTACCACACTTGTTTCATTTTGGTATCTCCGATTAAAATATTCTTATTTTGGCCTCATCCTTTTGCTAACAACCATGCATTCTGTCTTCTAGCAGTTGATGTTTAATCCTTTCTTATCGCTTTCCTTCACTACCTTTTGTAGGAATATTTGTATTTTTATTTCTGTGTCTTCTATCGGAACTGGACTATCTTCATAACTTATGTTGTTAAGATTGTGGTTGCTAATAAAGAAATCCTGATAGGACTTCAATTTCTCACAGAAATCACCTCGCTGTATAGGTTGAATAAGTCCGGTGAGAAGACACATCCTTGTCTTGCCTTTCTATTTTTGTATATCTGCTGAACTTATTTTCTATCCGTATGCATGCGGTTTGCTGAGATTAAATAACGGCGATTTTCCCAAATTTCCAAAACTTTTCTCAGCATCCACACAGACCCCAACAACACCGCATTCCCAACATAATTCCTCGTATGTTTTATTCAAACAATCTCGGTTCTAGTATTTTTGGTACGTTTCCAAGTGTGCCAGTAAGATTGGACGAGATCCAAGATTTCATGTTTTTCGATTTTCTTACTTTTCTGGCAAGAATGTGGTAGTTTTATTTCGACTTCCGTGACAGCGAATTGTGATCAAAATTGCCGTTATTTTGAATATCAAAATGAAAACTATCGGTATTTTCCACCTTATCGTCATCATTATCATCATCATTTACACTAATATTATTTTTTTTTATTTTTAATATACGATGTCGTATTTTCGTATCCAGGTCATTTCCCGCATTTAATACCCGTAATTCCGAGCAATTTCCTAATTTCGCTACGTCACAAATATATCTTTTCGCTTCTAACGCAATTGACTTTTAACCCATTTTTGTTAAAATTACAAGCAAAAGTAGAAGATAAAAATGAAGTAAAAATAAAGACGAAGAAAGGAAATATCATTTGAGAGAAAGACTAATAAAAATGAAAGCGTAAAGAGCCGTACAGTGTGGGGATAGATAGATAGATAGATAGATAGATAGATAGATAGATAGATAGATATGAACAGACTGAGATAGATAGAGAGATAGATAAATAGATAGATAGATAGATAGATAGATAGATAGATAGATAGATATGAACAGACTGAGATAGATAGTTAAGAACAGACTGAGATAGATAGATACATAGATATGAACAGACTGAGATAGATAGATAGATAGATAGATAGATAGATAGATATGAACAGACTGATAGATAGTTATGAACAGACTGAGCTAAAAAGATAGATAGATATGAACAGACTGAGATAGATAGATAGATAGATAGATAGATAGATAGATAGATAGATAGATATGAACAGACTGAGATAGATAGATAGATAGATATGAACAGACTGAGATAGATAGTTATGAACAGACTGAGATGTATATATATATATATATATATATATATATAGATATATAGATATATAGATAGATAGATATGAACAGACTGAGATAGATAGATAGATATGAACAGACTGAGATAGATAGTTATGAACAGACTGAGATAGATAGATAGATAGATAGATAGATGTGAACAGACTGAGATAGATAGTTATGAACAGACTGAGATGTATATATATATATATATATATATATATATATAGATAGATAGATAGATATGAACAGACTGAGATAGATAGATAGATATGAACGGACTGGGATAGATAGTTATGAACAGACTGAGATAGATAGATAGATAGATAGATAGATAGATAGATAGATAGATAGATCTGAACATACTGAGTTAGACAGAGATAGAGAGATCTGAACAAACAGAAATAGCTATGAGACAAACAGAGATAGATAGAGATATAGATATGAAATAAAAATGCATGAATAGAGACAGATATGAACAAACTTAAATAGATATGAACAGAGAAAGACAGATAGATAGATAGATATGAACAGACTGAGATAGATAGATAGATAGATAGATAGATATGAACAGACTGAGATAGATAGATAGATAGATAGATAGATAGATAGATAGATATGAACAAAATAGAAATTGATATGAACAGAGATAGATAGACAGAGATAGATAGATATGAAATAAAATAGATAGGAGCAGAGATAGATTGATAATGAACAGAAATAGATATCAACAGCGATGGATTGATAGATAGATATGAACAGTGATAGATATGAATAAGCATAAATAAATATGAACAGAGATAGAAAGATAGATAGATAGATAAGAACAAATAGAAATTGATATGAAAAGAGATAGATAGATAGATATGAACAAAAAGAAAGAGATATGAACAGACATAGATATGTACAGAGATGATTGGATGGATATGAACAAAGAGAAATAGATATAAACAGATAGATATGAACATAGATAGATAGATAGATAGATAGATAGATAGATAGATACAAAAAGAAATAGATATGAGCAAACATATACTGATACGAACAAAGATAGATATGAAAAAAACATAGGATCCTCTACGAAATGTAAACAAAAAGAGCATAGCATGATGAAAAAGACGCCGAACTTGACGAAAACAAAATTTTATCGTCTAATGTTCATATTATTATTAAAGAGGAAAGATCAAAGTATTTTGGGGGGTATTTTTTTTACATTTTTTAATCGTTCCTAGCACGTCCGAAATTTTCGTTAAAAATCTAGTTTTTAAAAAAAAAAAAAAAAGGACAGATAATCCATCATTTTCAATCATTTTTTTCCATTTTATAAAAAAGATGAAAATCTGACTTTGATATTCTTTTAAAAATCAATTATCATTTTTTCAAAACTTATTTTAATAGAATCAGAAATTATAATGTTTATTTAAAATATTTTGAACCAAGCTTAACTTAGCTTCTGCGCCGAAAAAATGTAATTTGAAAATAAAACAAAGCAGGTCATTACCTTTCGCGTCATTTGACAGGTGACGAAAGACATTTCCATGACGTTTAGATAACTTACGGGGGTGGGGGATAATTCTTTCTACGGATCGAAGGAAGTGAAATTATTTAGATTTAAGTGAACAAGTTATTTACCTCGTTACTTTTAAGGAAAACTTTCAGCGCTCTAATTTTTTAATTTTTTTTTTATCTTTACGTTTATGATGCTTTATGAAAAATATATTATAAAGAAATTAAAAAATAAGACTGTTAAGAGTGAGATTAAATTTCATAAGGAAGGTATCTAATTAATTTATAGGTACCTTTCTTATGAAATTTTATCAGAAGTGTACATAAAATACTATAATTTTATGTACATTTATTACATTTTACTGTGTTATTTGTATTTCCATTCATTTTATTATTAATTTTGATATTTCATTTATGGAAAAATGTCATAACTGAGATTAATATAAAAATAGATCATATAAATTAAATTTTAGCAGTAGTTAAATTTCATAAGATGATACTGATACTTATAGGTACCCTTCTCAGTTGAAATTGAAAACTCAAATTAACTTCTCTATACGTGTTTCGCAAAAGTAACCTTAACAGCGGAGAACACTGCTCAACTCAAATAATGCAACCTAATTGTATTCTGGTTGGTCTTCCGTACTTTATAATTACCGCCCGATTATAAACACAAAATTACATTTCTTAATTACTGCAGATCTTCTGATTGGTCCAAATGATACAATTTTCAAAGCGCTAGACAATGACAATCTCATAAGGACACTTAGAAAAGTTGATGTGACTTTTAGCTAATTTTATAATATTTTTAAAAAACTTAATGTAAAAATCTTTTATAATTAAAGAAATAACAAATAATTGTATTAAAAATTCAATTTTCATTGAAAAAATTTTTTGCTTTCAGAAAATATTGTCCATATTCATAAAAACAACTAAAAACAAATAAAAGCATTTGAAATTAAATAGTATCTTTGTTTTATTGAGTTTTGTACGTTACAATTCAGAGCTGATTTTTAGGTACTGCGGATCCAATTAAAAAAAAAAACATGATTTGCATTCTTCAAAGCCTTGTGCTTTTAACTATTGTAATCACTAAAGTTGATGCGCTCGAATTTCTAGAGTTTTTCATAAAATTAGTTATGGGCGTGTTAATAAATATAAAAAAAATCATATTTCTGCCATGACTTTAATAAAAAAAAACATATTTATTATAATTTCAATTATCTGTGAATAGTTTCTGAAAGTTTCATTAACATCCGACAATTATTTTTATTTTTGCAAGATTTTCCAAATTAATGTGTGTAATACAAAAAAAAAAAAAAACGTGCTAAAAATTGTCTATGTTATTTACTAGTCCCGGTTGGTACAAAGAGAAACAAGGTTTTTTTTAATCAAAATTTAGAATGTTCTAAAAAGAAGGAAAAATTTTTAAAAATAATTAAAAAAAACTTTGGTCTTTTCTCTTCATAAAAACATAAGCATTTAGACGATAAAATTTTGTTTTCATAAAGTTTGGCGTCTTTTTCATCAGACTATGCTCTTTTTTTAGAGATTTCGTGGAGGTACCTAAAAAACAGAAATAGATATGAATAGAGATAGATAGATATGAACAAACATAAATAGATATAAACAGACAGAAATCAATATGAACAGCGATAGATAGATAAATAGATAGATAGATATGAACAAACAGAAATAGATGTAAACAGAGATATATAGATAGATAGATAGATAGATATGAGCAAGCATAAATCCATATGAATATGAATAAATAGGTAGATATCAACAAAAATGAGTCGATATGAACAAACATAAATAGATTTGAAGAAACAGAAATATATATGAACAGAGATAGATTGGTAGGTAGATATATAGATAGATAAGTTATAATGCTGGTTATAAAAAATCTGTTTTTCTTTTTCTAACTACGGTTGTGTTCAAATATGTCCTAATTTAGTTTGCAATTAATTGGGAAATTTTTTTTTTTATGAACAACAAAAATAGCCATTCTATGGTATTTAAAGAATTTGCAATAAGTTTACTTCATGTTACGTAAATATCACTAAAATATATCACGATAAAAAATATTCAAGCGTGTGTGCTTCCCTCTGAGGGGACCCATAATTTCATTAGCCTAGGACTCCAAAATGTTATAATCCGGCCTTGTATATAGTTGATAGATATCAACAGATATAGATAGATATGAACATAGAAATAGATTGATAAATATCATCAGAGATATATAGATAGATAGATAGATAGATATGAACATAGAAATAGACTGATGGATATGATCAAATATACACCGTGTCTGAAGTTATTAAGGAAATCATATAAACTTCAATAATTCAAATTTGGTTTGAAAAAAAATGTCAAATTTTAAAGAATCAATTTACATGTCAAAACAAAGCCCGATTTAAAAGTTTAAGTAGTATCAATATATTTAATTGACATTATTGAAGTTATTTGATGTATTCTAAAAACATCTGTCTGAAATTATTAGAAAAATCCCATAATCACACTTTACTTCAGTAAAACGGTAGTAAAATCATTAAAAATTTATCAACACCTTTAATAGAACAAATAGCAAACACATATGACGAGTTTTTGAATCCTTTACATTTTAATATAGTGACCCTTCTCAATAACTGCCTGTAATCTATTATCGATGTATTTTGTTAATTATTTTTACTTCAGCGGGTTTAATTTCCGACATGGTTGTTTTAATTGCTTCCCATAGGTCTGCTTTGCTGTTATATTGTTTGCCACCTTCATATAATTTCATCTTCCCAACTAACCATAGATTTTCGATTGGATTCACATCAGGACTTTATGGTGGCCATTCCATTATCTTCCCTTCTGTAAATCATTTATGCTTAAAGAATTCACGGATAAGTTTAGACTTAGATACTCGCGAAGGAGCATTGTTGTGCATAAATACACACTTCACTTTGAAACTGCGGGACTGGAACTTGTATCATGCAAAGAAAATCTTGTTCATATAATCGCAATAATTAGCACTGTTCAGTTTAACTATTTCATCGACTTTGAATGGTCTAATAATGGTTTGGTCGTCAATTCCAGCTCATATCATAACACTACCGCCTTCCTGTTGCCTTCTTTTAGTCACAGGCACGTCTGAATTGGATAAAATCCATCCTTCAACCCATCCATCAGGTCTATCAAATGTCACTCGAGATTTGTCCGTGAAAATTACTTTAGAAAAGTCAATTTCTTGGCCCAATTTTGACGGTTTAAAATATTTGCTTTAGTGAGAAATGTTTGCCTAGGAGATTTTTTTTAGAGATCCCAGTTCACAAACTATTCTACACCTTTTGTACTTCTTGACACCCTTAATTCCATTCTTTTTTAAAGATCTGGGCGCTGCTCAAAAGTGGTTGTTTCCCTATAACTTTCTTTAGCTTACCTTCATCTCGAGGAAGCAAGTTCCGAAAACCTTTTCCGTTGCTTCGAATTCTCAACTTATATTTTTAACAGCCCCCTTTATCGTTCGATGATCTCTGCAAAGCTCGTTTGATATCTCCCAATGTGGATATTTCCTCACTCAATAACTTTGTTATTTTCTGTTGTTGTTAGATCCTTCTCTTTACCTATTTTTCAACATATATTATGGACAAAAAGAAAAAAAAAGTTTTTATTAGATTTCCGAGGTCTTAAGCTAATATTAATTTAATGTGCATATTAATTTCAGTCAGTCCATTTTCGTAAATTCCAAATATCTCAAAAAATAGCGTCCTGGGTATGACGATAAACTACATCCGCGTCCAGGGTAAGACGATAAACTACGTCCAACAGCAAGGCCTCTGATAAAGATGTTTTGAGGAGCGTGGGACCACTTCTTAATTGCTGGTGTTCCCAGGTCCACCCTGACCCAGGGTGGTAGCACCTGTTAGGTTCCCAGCTATAGGCAAATAGTTAACCCCCAAACTGGAGTCAAAACAGTATGAAAGTGCAAAAATAGGTTTTAGTACCAGAAATACTTTGTAAAAAATTATTACCAGAAATATATTTTTGAAGAAAAAACTATTGCCAACAATGTATTTTTGAAAAAAATATTACCAGCAATATATGTGATTTTATTGAAAAATATGAGTAATTGTAAAACGGTTCAAATATATATGTATACATACACACCTTTTTTTTTTTACCAAACTATCGTTATGAATCTATTTCAAAAATTTTATTGGCATTAAATGACCCACTGAGGTTGATATGCCATAAAACAAAACAACCAACCAACCAAATCAAAAAAGTAACCATTAAAAATGGCAGAAAATTTAGTTAAATATTTTACTAAGGGTGGAAACACACGAGTTTAAATTTGACAAATATTGGTTCAGAACTTTTTGAGTTATTGAGGTTTATATAACTTCAGACAGGCTGTAGATAGATAGAGAGATAGATATAAATATAGAAATAGATTGATAGATATGTTCAAATATAGATGGATAATGATCAGATTGAGGATGATTGAAAACTTAAACTGATTATAAATTTATCTTGTTTGCAATATTTCGTGATAAGCGTCTCATAAAATTAATCCGGAACACGCAATCATTGGCTTTAAGAAAAAGAAAAAAAGTTCCCACAGGTGTTAATGAGAACCGGAAGTGATATATACGTAAACAAGGAAAAACGCATGCCACCCAAGCTCTTTAAAGATGAAAGTGTAATATTAGAATTCAATGATAAACCAGGGTACAAATCGATAGGAAAACAAGACACCCATGGGACGATAACACTGATTTGAAAAAAAATTGGTGCAAGAAAGAAACAAACAGAAGAGGAAGAAAAATGGAAGTGAAATTACTAAACGATTAGCAAAGAACATTTTAAAATATAGTTAATTCTTTGAGAAACCAATATCTACAGAAAATTGGAACAAAATTAATGAAACTAAGCTGCATAGATAATATGTTAAAATATGGAGACAAGCGAAAATTCGCAATACCATCATTTGATCAAAACCAACTCAAAAGAAATGTCCGCGTTTAAAAAAAAACGAACAGTTTGAATCGCATTTCAACCCTGACCACACTAAGCTAAAGATTCCCGCAGAAATAGAAAATATACCTATATACACCCGTCTTCAAATATAAGCCATAATGAACCTATTGATGAAAAAATTCAGAAAACTATTTTAAAAAATCTAAGGAACAATAAAGCATTACTTATCATTGAAGTTGAACTTTTGAAAATAGCTTACTTTCTCCCCGAATTCAATAACAAGTTTCTCAACTTTCGCATCCCCTAAAAAGTAGGGAAATGACGCATTATTGAAAACAAAAAGGTACTCTCAAAACCCTCACATATCTAAATTGGATCCATTTTAAATGGCGCAGGATGCCTGTCTACCAGGGCGGTTAGCTAATCCCCGTTGCCGCGTGCTCAGGCATATTTATTTGTTCAACATCCACCTCCCCGCCTGTGATTTAGGCTGTAACTATGCTGAGCAGACCTTAGTTACAGGGAGAGTGCGCGTTATCTAGCGAGATCAACAGACTAAGCAAGGCCAGCACTCTCAAACACTTCGTGTTAGCACAATCATCTTCGTTTCCTAAGGGTTACATTTATCCAGTTTCACTCATATGGTTTAGTATTTTTACAAATAATTTCCAAGGGTGCCGCACGCTGGGATCAGCTCCTCCAGACCGATAACAGCAAGAAGTCAATTCGACCATGATTAGATTCGACCATGCTCAGAAAGCGAACGTTCTAACAACTCGGTCACATGTGCATTTTAGATGTATTATGGTGAAACTATTAGTAAACTTTATATTAACCAGGCACTCATCGCTAAGTCAAATCCAAGTTTGGTTTTCGTTCTAGCAACGAATGAAATGATGGCATATATGTCATCAAACGATGCGAAGAAATTGCATATTTCTCTAATAGAAAATTGTATACTTTGCGATTGCTTGCGAATCCTCGTCACCACTTTTGTGATGCTGGACGGCTTCGCTTGTCACTTCTACTATGTCAAGCGAAAGCTTGTTATCACTTCCAAAAATGATCGTTATATTCGAGACTTCGTAGAGGCCGGTACTAGTAGTAACGCCTTCCAATAATATCTGTACTAGTAATACTTGTTCAAGTAGTAATTGCCAAATAGTATAATGATCAGAAGAGAATCGTAATCCGTATAGTAGTAGAGAGAGTGAATGTATAGCAATAGAGGATAGACAAGAAGAGTGAACATTGATCGTATTATAGTCAAACTATTTCCTATTTATTGACTTCCTTTATGATCACGTGATCTACTTAATAATGGAGTTGCCCGTATTACTCACTCTTGTTTTATATCACAGTGTCAGCAACGACACAACAGTATACCTGCTATGTTGACCTCACGGCAGCACGAGCACATGAATTTCGCATCCATTAGAAACAGCTAATTTTTTTTACATTGAAGTTCATCTTGTACAAGGCCTGGGGTCCACTCTATGTAGAGGATTACATTAAGTGGCAGTTTATATGGATAGGAGTGGAAGATAACGGTTGACTCTAGATTTGAACAGGTTAAGATTGTAGTGATTGGGGAAACATTCTCTTGGGAGTCGGTTCCATGGAGTAATGGTTCGTGAGAAGAAGCTGTTCGAGTGGAATTTACTTCTCAACGATGGAATATGGAGGGAATGTGTGGGGTTTGCTACGATGTGAGTGGCATGGCGGGACCTGGCCGTGAAGGATAGAACTGGTGGAACCTAGGAATGTAGTTCGTCTGAGCA